AAATATATATATATATATATATATATATATATAGAATTTTATTTTTTGAGTAAATTTTAGACAAATAATAAAAAGAATAATAAAGCATCAATGTTGTACTTTACCATTCCGTTTTATAGCTTCCCTTTCTATCCACATAAGTTTCTTATTACCATTTTGCAATAGTCACACGTACATAGTATATGGCCGTTCCTTTATCTCATATGTATCATTGATAGAGTAGCAATTATTGCTACACTCTTATTTGAACATGGCAGTGGCTAAAATATAAAGTATTTAATAAATTATTGCAATGCCTGGCATCCTCGATTATGTCACCTCCCGCGCAACACGAAAGAGATCACCGCCAGTTTCCAAGAACAGACCACTCGCTCCATGCACTGTCACAATATGAATCTACTATTTCGTCTAGTACTTGATTTCGCGCGGTTAGAAATTTTAAAAATTACCGCCTGGTGAGCTGGCGTCTCGTCTGCTCCGATGAGAATTTGTTATTGATCTGTTGCTTCTTAGGGGTTACGTGGCATGTGGTGAAATTAAGCATTTTCTATAAAAATAGACACCTGGAATTAACTGGAACACGTACCGAAGTTCGTCAAGCTCACCCGCAACGTCCTGTAAGTGTAGCCTTCGCTCTGCGAACGTCGCCAGATTGATAGGATATAACACTCGTCAGCGCTGATGGTTACCATATGATCGGTCGTTGAATGTGTCGTCAGTTCAACAGACAGGCGCCCCCTGTTCGTTGTCACCGAGCAGTGCTCTTAATAGATTCAGTTCAGAGTCCGTTCGATTTGCGTCGAACGCGATATCATTTACAGGCTGTATCGAATGCACTATTGAGCGACTATAAATACAAAAATTTAGCGAATTTCGAATCAAGTTAGAGCAAGCTTTCGGAGGCGTTTCGGTAGTAATCCACATATTCGTATTTGTGTTTAATGGTTCGGATCTGTGTTCTTCTACGGACAGTTGTTATGAACAAATGCTTCCTTATTCTGTCAGTACCAATTTCATTCTCCGATTGTTGACCCACTTCCTAGCTGACTAATTATTGAAATTTCTGAGATATGATATAAAAGTGAAATTTAAAGGTAAATCTGTATAGCACACAGGCTCCTAAATGTGCGAGGTTGTACGACGATTAATAGGTCACAGTTGTTGCCATGCGCTCTTATGAAAAAGTGAACCTTTTAGCTTTCATGGAGTGTCGCTGAAGTGCCCTTATAACTGGGATAATTTTCCTGGTGGTCTCACATCGGTACTCGAATATTGTCTACGCGTGAATGTGTCGCTCGTTCTTTTTAACCTATTGCCATAATACCCAGCTGTTGCAGAATGAACCTCATGTACAGTCAGTGTCGCGTTCTTACTATGTGTAAATTTTGCGCTATTCAGATATGAGGATCCTTAATTTCCTGTTTGTCGAGTAGCTATCGGTCCATGTTAATTATTAAACCTTTGTCGTAATCTGATAATGATAGTACTATTAATGGTTGGTGACATTTTATTGAATATGTTCATCTATGAGACCGTATACCTGTTGTATTTCGGTAGTAACGGCCTCTAACTTGCCTATTGCGCTTACCATGTCTGAAGTCTTCCATCTGCTCAAACTTTTAGTGTAAAAAATCTTCCAAAGGTATACAACTACGTGATATTCTCAACTGCGAAAACAGCGATATAAAGAGGTTTCCTCAAATTCGGCCTAATTGGCGTTGCTAGGCCTTGACATCTGTTTAGGTCTAATCCTGTCAGTAGCCTACAGGTAGTAGAACTGTGCGGCTCAGTCAATGACTACCAACTGGCGTGTTTTACTTCATTAGGTTCCCGTTCACATGTGTGACTCGTAAAAGATCGTTCAAGGAACTTGCACATCGTTGTACATCTGTACAAAATTTTAGCAGAGGTAGGTTAAACATGACTTTTGGCCCAGATAACCTGTCCGAATCGTGACTGTAATTACTTAGTCTCCTTAGGATTGGCACGAGCTTTTACAATATAATTATCGCTGGTTTAAAATATTAATCGCTACTGATGTTGTTTTATTAAAAAGGTTGATATTACGCGGAGTGGTGCTCAAGGGTGCGTGAATACCACGACCTAGAATGGACCGATGACTATGGCATCTACTAATTGTTTAAAATGTATTCGGATCTATTACTGAATGATTGTATAACTATTTGTTTTAACTGCAGGCGGCCGTGAAAGATGCAGTCAGCTCCTCCAGCTGTTCCGGGCTACGGAGGTGCGGGAGGTTACCCACTGAACAACAACTATGGAGCTCCAATGCCGCCGCAACAGCAACAACAACAACAACAGCAGCAGCAGCAAGGTCCTTCTTCGAAGCAGGTTTTTTCACCGTCTCAAGGCCAGGGCGACCAACTTGCTTCACATATGGGCAATTTGCAGGTGACTAGTAAACACAATTTGCGCTATCTAATCTGTTTCATTTATATAAACATTAGTTTACACAGTTTAGTTGGTCTCATTTTTTTATTGCGTCAGCAGCTTTTTCCATAATGACACAAACGCAAAGTTCTTCCATGTGTGAGCGCCATCTTACATTTACCATCAGATAATACAAATATACTGAAAGTGATCTATGAGGTAGGAAATTATGGAAAATTTGAGAAGTTTACTTAAGCATGGTATAGGATAAGGTTTGAATGTTACTCAATGGATATGGGACACGTGAAAACACTTCTGAGTTTAAAAACACTCTCCGTCGTGATAATATATGTATATATATATACACAGCTACTTCGAGAATCAATAAAACAAGCCAATACGATCCGATATACGGCGATATGATACTTCGCTCAAATGTACGCGTGTTTTCGTCATTGTGAACTAAACAGATAATACTGTCAGCAAATTAGGTGCTATTTTATCCTATTATTATAAAGATTACCTCGTGCTTTAATTTTGTGCATATTTGGAGTTAACAGATTGGCGGAGGGCCACCTCTAGGCGCACCACAGATAAACGGACTCAGTCATGGACTCTTGAAGCCGCTTCAGCCTTATCCTAATGGCCACCCGGGGTATCCTCCACAAGCATCATCCGAGCAGCAATATGGTCCAGCCCCCGGTCAACATGGATTACCCCCCATTGATAAGCCTGGTCCATCTAATGGCATATCGCAAAATGGGCCGTCTATAGAATCTTATCAGATGGGTCCTACCCCTATAAGCGGTATGCCTCCATCAACGGGAGCACATCACCCAGGCGGGCCTTCTCAAATGGGGTCACCACAGCCAGGCAGACCTGTTATGGGCGCACCTCAAGTTGGGGCTCCTCCTATCGGTCCACATCAACAAAGTGGTGGTTCTACGGGTTTACTCCAAGGAGGGGTGCCTCCGATGGGCATACCGCAAGTTGGGGTTTCACCAATGGGTCCGCCGCAATGTGGACCGCCGCCAGTAGGTCCTCCTCGTTCAAACGGACCTCCACGGATTGGTTTGCCTCAGTCAAGTGGACCTTCTCAGATGGGTCTTCCTTCAGTGGGAGGTCTGACTAGCGGACCGCCATCAATGGGTGCTACTCCTTCGGGTCCACCGATGGAAAATCCAGCTGGCCCTCACTTTAGAAATGCGGCTCTGTCCGGTCCGCCAACTTCAGATGAAGGCCCTTCATCAGGTAAAAGCCCAAATGGACCTTCTGGAAGTATGCCTTTAAATGCATCCTCTATGGGTGCACACAGTGGACCGGAGAGCATCCCTCCAAGACCGCCGATGCAACAAGGCCCTCCAAATCCGATGATACCACCAATGACTGGTCCCCCTCAAGGGTTGCCTCAGGGTCCACCAACCCAAAACGGGGTTCAGAACAGGCCCAATACTGCCGTTCAACCACCTTCGCTAGGGGGTTATCACAGCACACAACACCAACAGGGCTACAACATGAGCTCACCTATTTCACCACCCGGACGGATTCACCCACCGAATCAGCCTCCCCAGATTGGTCAGGGTTTTGTACAAGCCCCACCGTCTATGTATGGGCAGCCCAATGGGCAATATCCTTCACAGGCAATACAGCAACAGCCGTATCCAGGGCCACCCCAGCAATCCGCTGGATATCCAGGCCCGCCGCCCGGCAATTATCCCCAAGGCAGTTACCCCGGTACTCAGCAGAGACCTGGAATGCAAAGTCCTCAACAGCAGCGCAAGCTCGATCCTGAACAGATGCCGAGTCCTGTACAAGTTATCCAAGATGACCGGAAGAACAATGCAGGGCCTTTCGGAACATCAAAATTAGGCCAGTTGCCACCGCTTGTCACTACAGACGTCGAGGTGCAGGATGAAGGCAATGCGGCTCCCAACTACATACGTTCAACCGTCTACAATGTGCCATGCAGTCCAGACATTACTAAACAGACCCAGGTGCCTCTAGCACTTGCGATCACGCCCTTCGCTAGACACCCTAGAACCGATGTAAGTAGAACTGTAACGACGTTGCAGAATTTATCTTCTCTGTTTTTGGTGTTGTGTTACTTATAGTAGATTGTTTGAAATATAGTGGCGGTTTTTGTGTACTCTTTGCTTTTTTAATTTCTATACGCTGATAGTAAAATGTTACATGGGGTTGCTCGCTTCTTGCTTCAAAAGACAGTTGCCATAGTCTTGTTCAGACCACAAAATTTCACCTTAATTTTAGATAAATATGTCGAATGAAAAAGAAGTGTATTTTTAATGTAGATTTCTTGCTTCTATCGAAGGTTTGCGAAAGCAACCCAGTAAATTTATTCCGCTGTCAAAATTTCAATTACTATACGTGGGCGCATCCGCTTCTTTTGAAATTGGTTAAAATCGAATTCTAAAAGCCACACTAAGTACATTGCTTAGGTCGTGAATGCCAGGTCTGAATGTAGCAATCCATTTTTGGGTAATATTCTTAGCTATAGTCTTCGTCACACGCGGGAAATGTCTTGGGTTGTTGCGGTGGCTTTGTGACCTTGGCGCAAGACCGATGACAAGTGACACAAATGATGTTTTTGCCACCGGACAAACCCATATTTAGTCAAACTTCAAGCTAAAATTTGTTGACCAAGAAAATTGACAGTAACAAAGAGGGAGGAAAGGAAGACCAAAGAAGAACTTCCTAACGGTGCGTAAGAATTTATGGTCGGTAAATGAAGAATTAGATAAGAAGGGTAATAAGAAATCGACATTACCTACCCTATACATATATCTGTCAAAAACGAGTAGTACATGAAACTGCTTCACGCGATGATAAAAAGTTTCAAATTGTTTTCTACCGTTTTAGGGCGCCCTACCGGTTTCGATGTTTAATGATGAAATCGTACGTTGTAACCGCTGTAAGGCGTACATGTGTCCTTTTATGCAATTTATGGATGGGGGACGGCGGTTCCAGTGCGTCTTCTGCAAGGGTACAACCGAAGTGCCCCAGGGCTATTTTAACCATCTCGATCATATGGGTCAGCGTGTTGATAAATGGCAACGCGCCGAGCTTTGTCTCGGCTCGTACGAGATTCTTGCGACAAAGGAGTATTGCAAGAACAATGTGTTCCCGAAACCACCGGCGTTCATTTTCGTTCTCGATGTCAGCTATAATGCTGTCAAGTGCGGCATGGTGCAGCTTTTCTGTCACAATATCAAAGAGATCCTTCAAAATCTACCTACTGAGGAGGGTAACCAGGATGAGTCGAACATTCGCGTCGGATTTATCACTTACTCGTCGCAAGTACATTTCTACAATATCGACAAGCGGCTATCACAACCGCAGATGATGGTAGTACCTGACGTGGCCGATATGTTCGTGCCCTTCCTTGAGGGCTGTCTTGTTAAACCTAGTGAGGCAATGCACGTTATTGAGAGTCTCGGCCAAGAGATTCCGCGCATGTTTGCCGACACGCGTGAAACTGAGACCATTCTTGGGCCGGCAATCCAAGCAGGCTTAGAAGCTCTGAAGGCAGCCGAATGTACTGGTAAGCTGTTCGTCTTCCATACGACATTACCAACGGCGGAAGCTCCTGGCAAGTTAAAGAATCGCGATGACCGCAAAATGCTAGGAACAGAAAAGGAAAGGATTGTTCTTACGCCAGCCTGTGCATACTATCAGGAGCTAGCAACGCAATGCGTAGCGGCCGGATGTTCAATCGATCTCTTTCTTGCTAATAATTCATTCGTGGACTTAGCGTCTATCGGCCAGGTGACCAAAAGCACTGGTGGCCAAGTGTACAAATACACATACTTCCAGAGCGAAGTCGATGGCGAGCGATTTTTGTCTGATCTACGGCGGAACCTTTCGAAGCCGATTGCGTTTGATGCTGTCATGCGTGTCCGCACATCGACGGGTATTCGTCCCACAGATTTCTTCGGTAACATCTTTATGCAGAATACGACGGACGTCGAACTAGCCTCGATTGACTGCGACAAATGTGTCACGGTTGAGCTAAAATATGATGATAAACTCCCGGAAAATGAGTGCGCTTACATACAGGTAGCTTTGCTCTACACATCGGTGGGGGGCCAACGAAAGCTTCGATTGCACAACCTTTGTCTGCAAACGACACAGCAAATGGCCGACATGTTCCGCAACTGTGAACTCGATACCATCATCAATCTCTTTTCTAAGCAGGCACTCAGGTAATTCTATTGTTTTGCTAATATCTTTATTGTTTATACATTGTCCCATAACCTTTTCTGAATTGCATTTGGTGAGGGTTCCGCGTTCATTTATGATAAAATACCTAGCTGTGAGTGTTATTTACGTTATACTTCCAGTAGGATTTCACATCTCCTATAGTTATTGTTATTAGGTGTTACTTTGTTAATTCTTTTTTTTGTGATAAGAAACTAGCCATTTACTAAATCTGATTAATGTAGCTCGGTTTCTCTGCTCTGATCGGTTTGATGTATAGGCAATTACTCGAATCGTCTCCGAAAAGTGTTCGGGAGGCCGTGACTTTACGAGCAGCTACAATGTTAGCAAGTTATCGTAAGAATTGCGCTACTGCGTCTTCTAGTGGACAACTAATTCTGCCCGAGTGCATGAAACTTTTGCCCCTCTATGTCAACTGTATGATGGTATGTTCTATTTTTTGTTATTCCTTTATTAATATCGTTATAGCCATTGGGTATTGCTGCTTACAGAACCGCTAGACGTATCCTCCACACTTACGAGGATGTTACTCAATATATGTATGTATGAAAAAACCTCGTTCACTTTTCTATATTATAGGGAAAAGGCTGGACCGTATGTTGTCTCTAGAGAGCGCAACTGCTGCCTTCTAGGCGTTCTAGGCTTTGTTAATCAGGCAGCATGACGTTAACGATTTCCGCATACTGGAATCTTTTGCCTTACTGACGTTACTGGTATTCGTATTATTTCAGAAATGCGACGCTTTGTCCGGAGGTCCAGAACTAACGGTGGACGATCGTTCATTTGGCATGATTTCGTTGAACTCGATGGATGTAAGGGCGTCGCAGGTGTACCTGTATCCACAGCTTTTGCCCGTCCACGACCTGGATTTTTCCGATGACGACAATACTATTCCGATTGCGATGCGGGCCTCTGTCGACAAACTGAACGAGCACGGAGCATATATTCTAGAAAATGGCGTACACATGTTCCTCTATGTCGGCGCACAGGTCAGTAGCATTATCGATGTACGTATGACAGCATAAATTACTAAATCGAACTGTTTGTGTTGGCCTTTTATGGAGCCTTTAGTAGCTGGCATTTGTTTTTGTCTAGCCAGATAAAGTTGTATCGTGTAACGTTCTCTTTCTCTCTCTCTCTCGCTCTAT